AAAAAAAAAAAAAAAAAACCTCTAATAACATTGATAGATACAATTACTCAATTAAGCAAAAGCCTATAGCATCACTTCCAGCAGGTGGAAGAGGCTCTCTTAGACAAGAGTTATTAGAGAGGTTTGAAGTTTTATTTATTGTTTTTGTTGACTTTTGGGGGATCCCCTCCACCAATAATTTGAAAAGTTCTGAAGAATGGTTTCTCGATGTACAAGGGTAAAAACACCAGATTCAGACTCCAGTGTCCTGGAATATGGTCCTGGCTCTTCCTCACTCATCCTGACCAAAGTCCTCAATTTCGATGAACTTCTCATTCTCCACGTACACAAGCAGAGAAGGGAGGAGGAAAGAGAAGCGAATCTATTTGGTGGTTGCTAAATCCCCCCTCCGTTTCTCTTTCTCTCCTGTTCCCTGTCAGGTCTCTTCCAGCATAAACTATCTCCTTGACACCTGATAGGACCTGTACAGTTCTCTTTTTCTTTCCCCTTCCTGACATTTTTCTAACAACTGGCCAAGGTGGAACTAAAATATTATTTAATTACTTGATACTCACAGAATCAAGACTGCTCTGTTTTTAATGGTCAAGTTCAATATTCTTCAGAAGCCATGCCTCATAAAACCATTTTAAATGGCTATTCATTTACATGACCCTGAAATTACTGTCCATCCATAAAAGAAAAAAAGCTCCACCATCTTTAACAGAAATAAGCAGCATCTAAAAAAAGAGATTTGAGAGAGAAGATCACTTCTCTATCACCACAGGACTCATCCCTGGAAACACGGGATCCAGGAGGCGAGGGAGGGAGCAGGTCTGTGCTCAGACTCATGAGGATGACGGCCAAAGCCATAAGCTTAGGAGCTGCCTTAAAAAAAAAAAAGTGTTTGCTCCTGTTTCCCAACAACGTCATTCCCCCCCATCTGCAGTTTTGCTTTCTGCAGGTTCAGTTGCCCACGGTTGACTGAAAATATTAAATGGGAAATTCCAGAAATAAACCGTTCCTAAGCTTTAATTGCGTGCCTTTCTGAGTAGCATGAGGAAATCTCCAGCCGTCCCTCCCAGGATGGGAATCCTCCTTTTGTGCGACGTCTCCACCGTCTCCACTCCCCACCCATTGTCACTCAGGAGCTCTCTCCATTACCAGACTGACTGTTATGATGACGCAGCATCCAAGTAACCCTCATTTGACTTAAAAATGCCCACAAAGTGTAACAGCAGTGATGCTGGCCATTCAGATATGCCAAAGAAAAGCCATAAAGGGCATCCTTCAAGTGAAAAGGTGAATGTTTTTGACTTGTAAGTTGAAAGAAAAGAAGAAAAAAATTTAAATCATAGGCTAAGGTTGCTAAGATCTAGGGTAGGAATGAATTGTGTAAACAGTAACTGTTCTGTTTTATTATTGGTGCTCTTAATCTTGTATGTGCCTGATTTATAAATTAAATTTTATGACTCAACCGGCTAGGGTGCCAGCCACATACACCAAGGCTAGCGGGTTCAAATCCAGCCCGAGCCTGCCAAACAACAATGACAACTATAACCAAAAATTATCCAGGCATTGTGGTAGGCCCCTGTAGTCCCAACTACTTGGGAGGCTGAGGCAAGAGGATCGCTTAAGCCCAAGAGTTTGAGGTTGCTATGAGCTGTGGCACCATAGCACTCTACCCAGGGCAACAGATTGAGACTCTGTCTCA